CTAATTTTTGTATTTTTAGTAGAGACAGGGTTTCACCATGTTGGTCAGGCTGGTCTCGATCTCCTGACCTTGTGATCCGCCTGCCTCAGCCCCCCAAAGTGCAGGGATTACAGGCGTGAGCCACCGCGCCTGGCCTTAACTGGATTACGTTAATCAAGTTTTCATCTGGTTCCTGCAAGCTTTTGATTAGTTCCAAAAAAGTTGATTGTGACTTTTTTGCCAGTTTTTTGTTACTTCCTATTTTCTGTGTTTCATTCATGTCCTTCACGGGATCTCAAATTTATATAAAAAGAAATCTCCCCTCAGCTCCACAGATGGGGGAAAATCCTGAAAAGAAACGCAGTGAAAACGAAACCGGTGTTGCCTGCTTGCTGGACACTACCGTCAGCCCTGGGTGTTGGGTTCAGGCCTCAGAGTCTTCACAGGTGAGGCGTTTCATGCCACAGCCCCAATTGGAGACTCTGATTCCATCATCAGATAACTGGAAAGGACAGAGGAAGCAGTCTGTGCTCCTGGGATTTGGTGGCCTGTAACGTTAGCAGATGCCGTGTTAAACCCTCCCTTTTGCAGGAGGGGTGGGGGTGAGGGGCGGTTGGAAGATGTGGAGTGAGCCGCCACCCTCCAACCTGCTGCCTCTTCTTCCCCAGGTTGTCTTTCTACTCAATACATCCCTCCTTTGGGATGTACTGCGTGGTGTTCCTGGAGGTGAGTCCATTTTTCCAGGGCTTGCCTGTCAAGTCACTCCCTTTTCTGGACCTCGGTTTTTCCAGCTGTAAAATGGGTAGGTCATGGTGGTGATGGGGGCGCTCACTGACTTGTTTGTAAAAACAGGAGGCCCTGGGCTGGCCAGTTTTGTGCCCCCGGCCTCGGAGCTGCCATATGTGCAGTGGGTGTGGGAGGGCCTGGCGGGGCACAGGCTGAGAAGCCCTGTCCCATCCCAGCTCTACGTGCAGGCATGGCTCTGCTGGAAGTGGGTGCGGTTCTTTCTGGTGGCCTTTGCCCTCTATGTGGGCTACACCCGCGTGTCTGATCACAAACACCACTGGAGCAACGTCCTTGCTGGCCTCCTGCAGGGGCGCTGGTGGCTGGCCTCACTGTGAGCTTCTGACCCTGACTCACCCCCTGTACTGTCCAGAGACCACTCCCTGCCCAACCCTGGTCCTGCCCTACACACTCTTGCCCCACGGAGTCCTCCCCTGGGACCCCTTCCTCCAACCCTGGTCCTTCCCTGGGACTCCTCCTTCCCCCGGTTTCTCCCCTGGGACCCCTGCCCCAAACTCCAGTCTTTCCCTGAACCCCTCCTTCCCCCCCAGATCCTCCCCTGGGTCCCCTTCCCCCAACCCCAGTTTGTCCCTGGACCCCTCCTTCCCTGGGATCCCTCTTTCCCCCAATTCCTCCCCGGGACCCCTTTCTCAATGCCAGTCCATGCCTGGACCCCTCTTCCCTTATTCTACCCCTAAGACCCCTTCCCCCAACCCCAGTCCTTCACTAGGACCCCCTTTCCCCCCATTTCTCCTCTGGAACCCCCCAACCCCAGTCCATCACAGGACCCTTCCCTCTCCCTCCACATCCTCCCCTGGGACCCCTTCCCCCAAACTTAGTCCATACCTGGGACCCCCTTCCCCCCAATTCTCCTCTGGGACCCCTTCTCCCCAACCCCAGTCCTTCCCTGGGACCCCTTTTTCCCCTCATTTCTCCTCTGGGATCCCCCAACCCGAGTCCATCCCTGGACCCCTCCCTCCCCCCCAACATCCTCCCCTGGGACCCCTTCCCCCAACCCCAGTTCTTCCCTGGACCCCTCCCTTCTCCCCATTTCTCCCCAGTACCTCTTTCCCCAACCCCAGTCCTTTCTGAGGGCCCCTCCCTTCCCCCAATTCCTCCCCTGGGACCCTTTTTCCCAATCCCAGTCCATCTCTGGGACCCCTCCTTCCCCCATTTCTCTGCTGAGACCACTTCCCCCAACCCCAGTTCTTCCCTGGGGCCCCTTCCTTCCCCCACTGCATCCTTCCCTGGGACCCCTTGTCCACCCCATGCACATGGGGGCCAGGCTTCTGAAATGGGTAATTCAGGGGCTGGTTTCCCTGAAGTGATGGCAGAACACACAGAGCTTACTTTTTCAACAAGAGGGTAAAGGGTACATTTGTTTTTTGTACAGGCGGTAACAGTCTGCTGATGTTTTGTTTGCACCTGGAACCTCTCTTATTCCCTCACCCTGCAGGGTGTTCCTATCAGGCCTTAGCCTATGGGAAGGGTGGTGTAGCCCTGGGGGGCAAAAGTGCAGCCTGGGAGCCCCACTCAAGGGGCCTTGATGGAGACCTGCCCTTGGCGGTCAGGAAGGAAGGTGACCCAGACCCTGCAGAGCTCCAGCTGAACGTCAGAGACTTGCCTCCATGCAGGTGTCAGATGGGATCCTGGCCAGGAAAGTCACACAGAAGCCTCCCAGGTATCCTAGGGTGCTGCAGCAGGCAGTGATGCCCGAGGACTAAGGAGGCTGTGTCTGGGCTTACAATGTGTCTCTGGCAGTGGGTGGGAGAGAGGTTTCCAGCCAGATCCCACAGGCGGAGTCACTGTGTCAGGAGCACATGGGAATGACCCAGGTGCCCTGACGGCAGCCAACACCTCTGTCTCCTCCTAGGCGCAATGGCCTTGAAAGCCAGGACCACAGTGAGGGTTGAGCACGAGTCTGTGGGAGCAGCTGCAGTGCACAGGACTCAGGTGTGATCTGCTGGGAGCAGGTGGTCGTGTTGGGACGGGCAGTGAAGACTGAGGAGCGGAGGAAGTTTGGAGTGAGGGAGAGGACGTGGCTGAGTCAGCAGCTGGCCTCGGCTGGGGGAGCCTCAGTGCTTCAGAAAGAGCATGTGCACCCCACGGCTGTGAGAGCAGAGAAAGAAAGGGCTGTACTGACCAGAGCCATCCCCAGAGGGTCCTCAGGAGGCAGGAGGGCCCAGCTTTGGGAGCTGGTGGCCTGTTTCACCATTTTGGTGCTGCCCAGATGGGCTATGCACGCACTGCTCTGCATCTGTTGTGAAAAGCCGGGACGCAGAATGTCGGGCTCGGAAATTCTCACAGGTTCCCAGTACCAAGATAGCAGGCAGGGCGGCAGTTAGGACACATTTCTCCACCCACAATGAGCTCTGGGGAAGCTCTCATGTGTAATGTTGGGTTTACACTGCCCACACCCTTATGGTTTCATGGAAAAAAATAGTATTTTCTCTCGTTGTACAAGGAGGATATTTTGTTCTGTTGTTTCTCACAGGAAACTCAGATTCTTAGCCATGTAAATATCATTTCCCATGGCTTTGTCCTCGTGGCCCGGCATTTCTCCCACCTTCTGAGGTTAATTGGGTTTTGAAGACCTCCTCCTGGCCGGGCACCGTGGCTCACGCCTGTAATCCCAGCACATTGGGAGGCCGAGGCGGGTGGATCACAAGGTCAGGAGATCGAGACCATCCTGGCCAACATGATGAAACCCTGTCTCTACTAAAAATGCAAAACTTAACCATGCGTGGTGGTGAACGCCTGTAATCCCAGCTATTCGGGAGGCTGAGGCAGGAGAATCACTCAAACCCAGGAGGCAGAGGTTGCAGTGAGCTGAGATTGCGCCACTGCTCTCCGGCCTGGTGACAGAGCGAGACTAGCCTAANAAAAAAAAAAAAAAAAAGAAAAGAAAACTCCTCCTGAGTATTTGATGATATGCAGGGTTTTTTTGAACGTGTCAGCTACCATATGTTATTTTGGTTTTGTAGGAAACCATACCTACTTTGTTTTTTAGACACAGGGTCTCATTCTGTCACCCAGGCTGGAGTGCAGTGGTGCAATTACTGCTCACTGCAGCCTCGACCTCCCAGGCTCAAGCAATGTTCCTGCCTCAGCCTCCTGAGTAGCTGGGACAAACAGGCGCCCACCACCACACCCCACTTTCATGCTTACTTTTTTTAATAGGTTCATACTGAAGTATTTAGGAGTAAAATTTTGTGAGATATGCAAATTACAATATTTCATAATATAAAAACATGAAGCAGACATGGCAACATATGAGTAACTGTTAAATCTGTTTTGTGTATGTGGGTATCATTATGCCACTCTCTGCACTGCATTTTGAAAAATTTTAAGTGAAAAAAGGAAAAATATGCCTTAGAACATTTTCCTAAGTTCAAAATGTCATTACGTTTACTTTTAGTGAGACAATATTTCTTCTTTTTCTTTTTTTGAGGAGTCTTGCCCTGTTGCCTGGCCTAGAGTGCAGTAGTGTGATCTTGGCTCACTGTAACATCTGCCTCCTGGGTTCAAGCGATTCTCCTGCCTCAGCCTCCAAAGTAACTGGGATTACAAGCGCCCTCCACCACACCCAGCTAATTTTTGTATTTTTAGTAGAGATGCCGTTTTACCATGTTGGCCAGGCTGGTCTTGAACTCCTGACCTCATGTGATCCACCCACCTCAGCCTCCCAAAGCACTGGAGTTACAGGTGTGAGCCACTACATCTGGCTATTTATTCCTCAACTGAATTTCTGTTTGAATTGAAACAACATAAAATCCTAATTTCGATAACATTATTTACATTTTTTACATTAGTTACTAGAAAGGGATGAGGGAAGGCAGCGTTTTCTCAACCTCACCCAGCAGTGGTGTGGCCTGCGGCCTTCTGGACAGCATTGGGGGTGGGGATTTGGGGGCGTGTGAGCCCCCACGCTGGCTCAGCAGTGCGGTCTGGGCCTTTTCCCAGAGGCTTCTTAGCCCCAAGCCTGATTGTCCACCCCCAGTCTCCTCAACAGCGAGAGGCACATTGTCCTGCTGTGTAGAGAATCTTAGTTCTTCTGTCTCCTGCCGCATATTTTCAGGAGCTGGACAGCTCCCAGGTTTCATCCCCTGTCTCAGAAATGACTTCTCAAGTCATACCCAGCCGCAGCATTTTGTTAGCCTGTTTTGTTGTTGTTCTTTGTTTTGAGATAGAGTTCTGCTCTTCTTGCCCAGGCTGGAGTGCAGTGGCACGACCTCGGCTCACTGCAACCTCTGCCCTCCGGGTTCAAGCAATTCTCCTGCCTCAACCTTCCGAATAGCTGAGATTACAGGCACCTGGCACCACGCCCAGCTAAGGTTTTTGTATTTTTATAGAGATGGGGTTTCACCGTGTTGGCCAGACTGGTTTCAAACTTCTAGCCTCAAGTGATCCACCTGCCTCAGCCTCCCAAAATGCTAGGATTACAGGCGTGAGACACTGCACCCAGCTGAGCCTCTTTTGTGACAGTTGTGATTTCTTGGATCTAAGCCCAGTTTTGTTTTTACTCTGACTTGCTGTTTTATAAGCAGGCGGCCTAGTTTGGACATTTTAACGGCAATTACAGGGATGGGAAATCCCTGGGGAGAATTAGCTGGCCAGGCAAGGTGTGTAGTGAGGGCATTGCATGGCAGGTGGAAGTTTAGGTTATTTGGGGTTACTAAGTTACAGCAATGGAATTTATGATGAATTAGCCGAGTGAGTGAATAAATGACTGAGTAAAGAAGACTTACCTGAGGCCGGGTGCAGTGGCTCACGCCTGTAATCCCAGCACTTTGGGAGGCTGAGGTTGGTGGAGCACCTGAGGTCAGGAGTTTGAGACTAGCCTGACCAATGTGAAGAAATCCCGTCTCTACTAAAAAAAAAAAAAAAAAAAATTAGCCGGGGGTGGTGGTACATTCCTGTGATCCCAGCTACTTTGGAGGCTGAGACAGGAGAATCACTTGAACCTGAGAGGCGGAGGTTTTGGTGAGCCGAGGTCACGCCATTGTACTCCAGCCTGGGTGACAGGAGTGAAACTCCATCTCAAAAAAAAAAAATAAAAGACGACTTACCTGTAATTTCGAGGCCCTCTGCCCTCAGCTGGAGTCAGGGCAGGAAGGACGACAGGTGTGGACGGGAGGGTGTTGCTGCAGGTGCTCACCTGTCTGGCTAGAAGCCCTGTGTGGACAGGCAATGCAGCCACAGCAGCAGGTGCTCACCTGTCTGGCTGGAAACCCTGTGTGGACAGGCAATGCAGCCACAGCAGTTGGTGCGCTTCCCTCCTTCAGGGGCCTCCTGAGTCCAGGGCCACACCATAGGCTGCACCTCAGGGAATCCAAAACGGAACATGAGGGACGTGTCATCACAACTGAACAATATGTACAGCAGTGGAGGTATGTAACAGGAAAGGCAGTTCTATGCTTTTGGAGGGGTTTGGGTGTTTTCCTTACTGCAATCAATCAATTAATTGATAAAACATCCTAGTCCACATCCTGACTTATTATAAATATTTGAAAGCACCTTTGTCTAGACATTGGACAATTAGTTGACAATCCTAGACAGTTAAGCAGGTGATTTATAATATTTGTGGATATTGAGTTGCAGGGAAGGACTGGGCGTGGTGGCTCACGCCTGTAATCTCAGCACTCTGAGAGGCTGAGGAAGGTGGATCACATGAGGTCAGGAGTTCGAGACCAGTCTGGCCAACATGGTGAAACCCTGTCTCTACTAAAAATACAAAAGTTAGCCAGGAGGAGTGGCACACGCAGTCCCAGCTACTCAGGAGGCTGAGGCACGAGAATCGCTTGAACACAGGAGGCGGAGGTTGCAGCATTGAGCTGAGATCGTGCCACTGCACTCCAGCCTGGGTGACAGAGCAAGACTCCATCTCTAAAAAATAAAAAAATGTTGGGCATGGTGGCTCAGACCTGTAATCTCAGCACTTTGGGAGGCTGAGGTGGGCGGGTCACAAGGTCAGGAGTTCAAGGCCAGCCTGGCCAACATGGTGAAACCCCATCTCTACTAAAAGTACAAAAATTAGCTGGTGAGGTGGCGAGTCTAAGTAATCCCAGCTACTCAGTAGGCTGAGGCAGGAG